AGATCGTTAAGGACGATAACCCCCACCCCCTACTTTCCCCAACCCTCCCCCCCCCCCCGTGAAAGCAGCCTCCTCTTAGTTACCTCCTGTAAGTTTAAAATCGTTTCAAACTAAATTGTCTGCCCCTAATAGCCGTCACTAAACCCGGCTCTACGATTGTAAACAGTTAGCTCACCAGACCATGTAGGGGTGGGGTTGGTAGGAAGCGCGCTTACAGCTTGGTGTTTTCTAACGTCTCCAAGAAGAGAATTATATATATAGATATACATACATGCCCCTACATATGATAGAAGAGTGGATGGTTGAAAATCAAAAATGCATTCTTTCAAAATGTATATAGGCCTATATAATTCTGTAAAATCATTTACATATATTAAAACGAGTATACTTTACTACAATTTATTATGCTATTAATACAAGTATGCTTATCTGAAACAGAAGAACGAGGAAGCTAAATACGAATCATTAAGAACAGCGGTAACAAGGAACTGCAACACAAGGCGATCATGTGACATAAACAACTTAGAGGACGAAATATCAAAGTTCCACTCACGATACGTCGTGTCCAAAGTGGAAATTAACTATTTTGTCAACCCTTCAGTAAGTTTTCAACGCCTTTTATCTACGTTAAAATCTACATCCGCATTTCTAATGCAGTCAAACTCGTTCAATTATTAAAGTTCCATTCTTGATATGTCGTGCCCAAAGTTAAAATTAACTATTTTTGTCAGCCTTTCAGTAAGTTTTCAAGCCTTTCATTAACGTTTAATTATTCTTTGGCAGTCAAACAAACCCCAGTTACATATTCTTACTACAAATTCTTACTACATATTCTAACTTTTTTACAGGATTAATTCTATAGAATTTATACAGAAGTTTCTAATTTAAAAAATCGTTTTGGTACAAAAAATGAGATTTAAAATATAGAGTAGAAACGTAATGCAGCAGTGTTATCAAGTCAAAATCATATTCATTGTTACAATTTTAAAATGTATATGATTTCATACGCTTATTATAAAGTTACATAGTGTATTGAAAAAGGCCTCTATAATCATATTTTTAAGTAAAGTTAGCTAAATTATAAAGGGGGGGGGGAGGCTGTTAAGGAATTATTTTTAATTTCATTTTGTCAGGAGTTAGCCTCAACTCATCAGTCATCGAGTTGGCCCAGGTGGAGGGGTTCAAAACCCTCACAACCCCATGGTACCTGGTGGTCAAGGAGGTAGAGACAGTTGTCAGACAATGTGGCATCAGACTGGAACTCATGACAGACGACATATATCTGGAGCTGCTTCATCTTGAGTTTAACGAGGATCAAATGGGGTCAGAAACTGACCACGTCAAGGTACAAGGCTGTAATGAGTTCCACGAGTTTAACAGGTCCAGGTGTGTACGCTAATGGTTTGTTTGTGTGTACGCTAATGGTTTGTTTGTGTGTACGCTAATGGTTTGTTTGTGTGTACGCTAATGGTTTGTTTGTGTGTACGTTAGTGGTTTGTTTGTGTGTACGCTAATGGTTTGTTTGTGTGTACGCTAATGGTTTGTTTGTGTGTACGCTAATGGTTTGTTTGTGTGTACGCTAATGGTTTGTTTGTGTGTACGCTAATGGTTTGTTTGTGTGTACGCTAATAGTTTGTTTGTGTGTACGCTAATGGTTTGTTTGTGTGTACGCTAATGGTTTGTTTGTGTGTACGCTAATGGTTTGTTTGTGTGTACGCTAATGGTTTGTTTGTGTGTACGCTAATGGTTTGTTTGTGTGTACGCTAATGGTTTGTTTGTGTGTACGCTAATGGTTTGTTTGTGTGTACGTTAATAGTTTGTGTGTGACGCTAATGGTTTGTTTGTGTGGCACGCTAGACGGTAGTTGGGCTCGTATTCCACATGTGTTGTGGTCATATTCAAGTTGTGTGGTCATATTCAAGTTGTGTGGTCATATTCAAGTTGTGTGGTCATATTCAAGTTGTGTGGTCATATTCAAGTTGTGTGGTCATATTCAAGTTGTGTGGTCATATTCAAGTTGTGTGGTCATATTCAAGTTGTGTGGGAGTTGTATTCAACATGTGTGGGGGTCATATTCAACTTGTGTGTGTGCGTGGGAGGGGGCATTTTCAACTTGTGTGGGATCCTATTCAAGTTGTGTGTGAGTTGTATTCATTTGTGTGGGGGTCGCAATCAGCTTGGGTGGGGTCGTATTCACTTGTGTGGGGGTCGTATTAAACTTAAAGACCAACAGTTTCATTTAGGACTAAGTTAAATGTTTTTTTTTTATTTTTACAATCATTATTAATGTTATTTTTTTGTACTATTTTTAATTTCCTGGATAATAATAATAATAAAAATAAAATAACTCTTCTCATGGATTATAGCCAAAAGATAACAAAATGAACATTATATAATCTAATAATATTCTTTTATTATCTTATCTACAAAAGGACATTGAATACTCTGGCAATCTACATGAAATGTTCCCGATTCACCATCGATGTAAATCTTAACAAAGGCGTCTTTTGGTTCGCCATTCAAGGTAAATATATGTACATCGTTAGATTCTTGAGAATACCAGATAACAAGGGTGTCAGTAGAAGATTGGTACTCAGCGACAGTCTGTATTATAAAGCTATGATGTGTAAATAAGATCACAATTACGCTAGCTAACGCTACATGTTTTTATTGCAGGCGCAAGTACCAACTTTCAAATCCACTGCAGAACGCCGTCTTCATACAGGGATGGGATAACAACCAGTAGTGGTATGTGTATGTACACACAACCCCACACACCCACATTCACACACCCACACCAATACATACACACCTCCACACGCACCGACACACACACGTACACACAATATATATACATATATACATATATATATATATATATATATATATATATATATATATATATCATTAAAAAGGTAAATAACATTAATAATGATGCTAACAAAAGCCATTTAACGTTTTAGTAAATTACAAGACTTCCACGACCACCATCACTGAAATCAAACATGGCGTCCATCACCTAGACAACAACAAAAACATCGCCATTGTAATGAGCGTGGTTGCTGAGGTGGCTGTTTGTGTCGCCATCGGCACGTGTCTGGTCTACGTGTGCCGTAGGTGAGTGCATCAGTTGTTTCCATTTTTACAAGCTTTTATTTAACTTGCTTCCTCTGTCGTCAGTAGCGAAACTTCGGGTACTTCTGACAGATTCCGTTCAAAGTTGGCACGTGGGTCAAGACATGAAGACTATGCAATCTGACATAAAATTTGACTTAATTGGATGCCGAAATAATTAATTATTAATAAATTAAAATTGTGTCCAAATTAGTAGGCTTGCTTAACCAACTATTCCGCACATTCATTACGTGCGTAATGGTTTTTAGTCATGCAACTTTATCGTAAATGAAAAAAAAAGTTTGCCTAATGTTCTAGGATTTATTTTTTGCTTAAAAGCTTTCACTTACTGCTATGTCTATTGATAGATTGATTCAGTATTTTAACATTGAAACCAATTAATTTTAAATAAGTATTTTTTACTTTGTAATTTGGTATGTAGGCTAATTAATTACTTGCTTATTGAAATAGAAAAATGGGAGCTAAAAGTGTTGACTAATTCTGACTGTCAATGATGCATATGAAAATATAGTGTGGTCAGCAACGCAATATATTAAAAAAATATAAATGTTTAAACGAATAAAGAAAAATGTATCTAAATATTGTGCTATTTAAAGATGCATTTTGCATTTATTGTTACTCAAAGTAGATTAAATATTAAACACGTCATTGTTCAATTATTAAGATTTCATATAAGTCTTTAAGTTTTCTGGGCATTTTCGAAAATATATCATAATAATGTTTCACAGTAACTTTACAGCAAGGTGGGATAGTTTGATACACATAACTGTGAAAGACTGTACAAATAAAAGTATTCCATTTTTATAACAATAATTTCTTTTTTTTTTGGTAGAAAACAAAGTCGCGCTGTTGATACAAATGATGAAGTTCCTGCTGGTGATGATGTCGACCCGTATGATCACGCACAACACGACCTCCACCCTTACAGCACAGCTACACCACACTTGGACACACCGACCCATACACTCCGTGTGTCAAACATCTACCACACAGCTGATAGCCCCAGCAGAATACACGATAAGGAGATACAGAGGAACAAGAGAAAAATTACCAGTAAGTTAAATTGAGTATATATATATATGCGTGTGTATGTGCATGTATTTCTGTTTGCTTAATTCGTCGTCTGTTTGTTTATATGCAGGTATATATATATGAATATATATATATATATATATATATATATATATATATATATATATATATAATTATTTCTTGTATTTCAGGAGCGATGAGCTACTCGGATTGTTCCGTCATGTCAGATTACATTACTGTACTCTAATGAAACCATTTGTAATTAGTGCTATATGCCTACCTGACATCGTTACATGCAATTATCATTATCATCATCTTTACCATCATCGTAATCTTTTCCCGTTTGTGCTCAAGACACATGGGATAGATGAAGTAGTCATTTATCTGTTTGAATGACCTCAGCATACAATGGAATAATGTGGTCAGCATTATGCCCAGCCGCTTTTACATTCCCCATCGTAATTTAGGTACCTGCCAAAGCTGGGCAAACTCAAGGACGTTCGATTGACTTGAAACTGGATACGAACTCGAGACTTTCGTATTAGCAGTCTAACGCTATATTGCTAGGTCAGATCTCTGCTATAACATAATTAATTATTCCCTAAAAATAACATAAATAACCCTTAAAAATGACATCAAAAACTAAAATAAATAACATAATTAAATAACCCTTAGTTATAAGACGTATTTAGATACCTCGTATTTGTAAATCTATACAACAAATAGACTACCGGAAGTGACTATTGTCTTTAAAAAAACTGTAAGAAATAATTATTTAAATGACAAAAATGTTTTTAGAAAATTAAGTAAAAATTATAAAATGGTCTGATAAATTAAAACTCTTTTAATTAACATAAGGTAAAACTTCATCAACCTAGTGTGTTCGTTAAGTCTGTTATCGCCTTTAAACACTTCTGACAGGAAGAAAATTATTTACATTGTAAAGCGATTAGTTTAAAATTATTTGAAATATAAAACATGCTCTTGAATATTATTTAAAATGGTATTAAAAAAGTTATACCTAATGTAAATCAAGCGCATACAATTTATTCAAGATTTAAATTTAAAGAAAAATCTAAAATATTTTTTCCTAAACTTTTATAAGTATAATTAAAAAGATAGTTGACTCTTTAATAAGAAATTAATGATCAGCCCTGAGTAGGCTATCTACTTAATTCTACTGACACACCTAACCTCAAAAGGTGGAGCTGCTATAATTCCAGCAAAAACAGGTTTCTCAGTAGAAACATGATTTGGGTCAACAGGCAGGAACTCGAACCTCTGAAACATGGACGACAGGAACAAGAAAAGTTCCATCTTAGCCAGCGATTCCCCAAGACAAATTCTGCGACCGATAGAAAACGGTATGAGCTCCTCTCTCTTCATCAAATTTCCTTCCTCGTCCAGAAATCTTTCGGGTCGGAAATTTTCCGGATCGCCCCATATTTTTTCGTCCTTGAGCACGGCGTCTAAATTTGGAATGACCTGGGCACCGCTGGGAATGGTGAAACCGTTGAGAACGGTGTCCTCAGTGCAGACATGCGATATAGCAAACGGTACCAGACTGCCCATCCTCTGGGTCTCCATGATGAAGGCGTTCAAGTACTTGAGCTGTGGCCTATCAGAACAGCTTGGCGTACGTTCACTTCCGACCATCTCAGCAATTTCTCGGTAAATTTTTTTCTGCGTTTCCGGGTACCGTAAGACAAATAAAAGACTCCATAAAATAGTGCTACTAGTGGTTTCCGTCCCTGCCAGGAATAAATTTTCAATGTTACGAATAAGGCTGACCTCGCTCAAATTCGTTGGCTCGTTAGATTCATTCACCTTTTCCATCTCATGAATGTATGATAGTATGTAGTTGTCCAAGCCATTGGCGTCATGCTTGCTCTTTATCTCATTCACCATGAACACGGCAAAGTCATGAAGTACGAATGAGTTAGCGATAAATTTGCTTGTGTTAACTTTAAATGATGGAAGGTATCTTAAAAAGGGCAGAAAGTTAAACTTTGATACGCCGGAGTTTAAAACCAACTCGTTTATTTTGGCTGTTAGGTGGTTTATTTTAGGATCGTCAAACGCAAATCTTTTCCCAAAAATAATTGAACAGATAATATTGGAGACACTAACGTTGATCAGACCTCGAATCTGCATCGATCTGAATACTTTTCCTTTTCCTTTAGCGAGCTCATTGATAAAAGCATTCACCTCCTCGGTAATTTTATCTGCCAAAATATTTTTCCCCATTCCAAACTTTTTCAGAATCGCATACGTTACGGTTCTCTGTTCTTTCCATTCAGCGCCTGAGGACAGAGTTAGGCCTTTCGTTATATGTGGAACATATGTAGATAATAACGACATTTTAGGTCGGTCAGAGAACTTATCTCCCTGTTTAACAAACGCTTCCTTTATCGAGTCAAACGAGTTTAAAACAATGACTGTTTCCTGTCCTAGCTTCAAGCTGAAGACATCGCCAAATTTGTGAGACCATTTCTTGAACTGCTGTCTCGGATCTCGCTCCAACAAATACAAATGGCCGACAACAGGAAGAGCTATACCAGGGGATGGGGGAAGGTGTTTTGGTCTCTTTACTGCCCAATAGATCGATATCATCAACAGCACCAATGCAATCAAAACAGTAATTAACTCCATGATTCTGAGAAGTCTAGAAATCTGAAAGAGATAAATGTAAATGTAACAAGTGATTTTTAAATATGTTAGTATATATTTCTGTCGCCTTAATTAAGTTTAGAAGCTGGCTGAGACTTGAAAAGCAAGCGCAGCTGACATTCTATTGTCCAAGGCATCTCTTTAAATGTTGACACCAGACACAGAAGAGTATGAAACTGTAACTATATTCACATATGCGGGTGAAATTGATGGGTTTTAAAACACGTATTCTTACATAGATAATACAGTTACAATATTGCTTATTACAAAATGTGTTAAATATGTATTGGCAACGAAAATCGATTTTAAATCTGTTGATTAAAATATCGTTTTAATTAATGATTGAGGTGCAGTTGATTGCTAAGGCAGTCATGCATAAGCGATGTCATACTCATATGAATTGGGGTGGGGGTGGCAGAGGTTGTGAGTTGGACCTTAGCGACAAATGTGGGGAGAGAATCTGTGGAGAGAATGTGTGGGTGAACGTGTGGAGAGAATGTGGGGAGAGAATCTGTGGAGATAATGTGTGGGGAGAACGTGTGGAGAGAATGTGGGGAGAGAATTTTTGGGGAAAACGAGTGGAGAGAATGTTTAGAGAGAATGTGTGGAGAGATTTTGTGGATAGAATGTGAGGGGAGATTGTGTGGGAGAATTTTTGGGGAGATTGTGTGGACAAAATGTGTGGAGAGAATGTAAACATAGAATATCTGGGTCACAGTTTATTACTGTAAGGTATATTATTTATTTATTTAAAGAAGTAAATTAAACAACAACTGAAATAGACTAGAAACTTTTAATTATTAGATTTTTATTTTGTTCGGTGATTAGTAGGTTTTCTGTTAAATTCTAAATAACTGATTTTATACTGCTTTTTACTGCATTATCCGAACATTTTAATGACACAAAATAATCGAAAGTAGGATTTAAAAACTGAAATGTTTTAAAATTTCGATAGTAAAGTACATCCTATGAAGGTTAATCTCAGGTACCACATAGAAAACTATGTGTATTAAAGAAACCAAACACGGCTATATCTACCTGATTCTGAAGCCTTTATAAAATGTAAATATTGTATTCCAATTATAGCCTGTTAAACGGCATAATGGTACTGTCATATATATACCTGCTATTGTGTGTGTTTCACCCAAGTCTGTTTCAATGTCGTCTTTAGATCGAGTTACGGGCTACTGCTTGAAGTGTCCTCCGATTCTCTGTCAACATTGATACACAGTGCTGCCTGTGTAGGCTGATGAAAATCGTAAACAAAATAACACGAGATTTGAACTTTAGCTGAATGCCCATAATTCTTTGAGCGTAAAGTAGGTCAGCTCTGTTGTTGTTAACGTTAGCATTAGAGTGCACTAAATAGTATTTTATAGTGCAATAGCGTGATGCACTTTATTTATCTCTCCATGAGTAAGGACCTAATTTATCGTACTTATGCTGTAGCCAAATACATTAGTATGTTTAGTTCTGGTCATTGACAATGATTGATGGTTAAAATTTAGTAGGTTATTTATTCAAAACAAAAATATTTAATTGAAAGTAACTTACATAAGATGTCTCGACAGTTGAACATATCTTAAGATGTCTCGACTATTAAATATAACTTTTATCGACTACTGAAAGTAACTTACACAATATGTCTCGCCTATTGAACATAACTTAAACTTGTCTCGACTATTGAACGTGGCTTACACAAGATGTCTCGACTATTGAATGTTACACAACATGATGTCTGGAATATTGAACATAATTGGTCTCGACTATTGAACGTAACGTACACAATGTGTCTCGACTATTAAACATTCCTTAATCAAGATCCAATGCATCGCCTTTCGATTAACCAGATCTATAACCACTTTGGGTGATTCTATTTTTAGGTGTTGTTATAAATTACTAAAGCATAAACATGTTGCCACTTTTTAATAGCAGCCGTCACGGTCTGATCATTAAACTAACCCTAGCCCATGTTGCTAGTTTTTGATCGCAGCCGCCACGGTCTGATTAATGGACTAACCTCGACCCGTATCACAGACAAGCAATAGCACAAACATACAAGACGTGTCAATGTTAGGTTCAAGGTTTCTTTCAGACTTTTTTTTATCCTGGCGGGTGGGGGATAAACTTCCGTGTGGGGGGGGGGGGGGGTTGGGATTGTCACTAGTTAAATGCTACCCTTAAAAACTACACTTTCCCAATCCACTCGATTCTGTGCAGTTATCTTCTGTGGGGACTATAGGGCCTATCTAAGTCCTCGAGCATTTACCTCAAATTTACTAGTTCTTTTTATAACTATAATGCCTTGATATTATGATTTCAATAAATGGTTAGATGAAGATTGTGCATTTTAACGTTAAATGAAAACTTCTACAATTAATACCAGAAAAACATCAAAATATTTAATTAACCTTTGAATTATTAATACTTAAATTGCAAAGTAATTGAATATCAAATTACTTGTTATGTTTAAAATTATGACATGTTACAACATTTTAAAATATATTTAAAAAAAACATTTCGTTTAGTAGCTTGTAGGAAAATAACTTTAATTAACGAAAATATGAAATAGAAACAAATAATGTAGGCCTATATTTAATTAACATTAATATTTTGACACAACTATTTGCTACGTATGACGTAAATGGTAAAACCCGTACTTCAAAAATATCAATACCATCTATACAAACCCAATCGATGTTTTTTCTACTTTTTACTTTCTCGTATATACGAAGTATAGAGAAAGTCTTGTAATCGTGCAAAAAAAAAATAGAGATTTTTGCAAATCTCGACGTTTTACACCTCACTGATACGGAAAAACATAATTTTGCAATCTTGTCCTATGTCTGTGTGTGTGTCTGTCTGTCTGTCTGTCTGTCTGTGTTTAAACACGATTACTTGAGTAACGTTACAGCTAGGTTGATGAAATTTCATATATGAGTATTTTATCAAAATCGTAGATTCGTATTAACTTTTGAGCGATTTCCGATAACCGGAAGTGGTACTTTTTCTACTTTGAATTTTTCAAAAGCCTATAACTTGAGTACTATTTCAGATAGATAAATGAAATTTCACATGTAAGTAAAAGATCTAATTTTCTACCTTATGCCGAATTTTGGGTAATTTCCGTTTACCGGAAGTACTAATTTACGCTATTTCCGATTTTTCAAAAAACGCATGTAAATTTATAAAGTATTAATAATATTGCACACTATTATACACATCTTTATTCGGCGTTCGCTTGGTGCGCAATTGTTTTTTTTTATGAGATTCTATTCTATTTTTAAAAGTTTAAGTATTTAAAATGGATTAAAAATCATAACTATATCCCCAGTTACCATCCCCTGTTGTTTTATATAAGAATATTCGAGAAAGTTTAGGGGAGATCACTACCGTTTTTTTTTATTAAACTAAAGGCTTTCGGGTTAGCAGTCGTGGGCTCTATATTCCGACCACGCCATCCCATTCTATAACTTTCTGTCGCCAAGCTCTCTCAACCCAAACAGTACCCTCTCTTTATGATAAACCTCTTTAAATGTACACATTTCAGTTTAAAAGCGTTTTAATAACATTTTAAAAATTTAAAAGCTTAAATAAGAAATTGAGCCACGTAGAGTGAAAATATATTAAATGGCATCCATTAACCTAATTGATTAATATGCTTTCGTGTTTATTTTTAAAAAATACCATTAAAAAAACACTTTTTGATTTATTTTGATTTAAAATCTTTAATTGTAATGTATTCGCTTTTTTTCACCATAACTACCTACGTTCGAGCTTTAAAGTACAATACATTTTAATTTTAATCAACGGAAACTCCCAGCGCCAATGTTGTGCTTACTTCTAGGAATAGCTCTAGTCATCATCATAGGTCTGTGTTTCAATACATTCTTGTTTTTGTGTGCTTACAATTAAATATACATGTAGTGACTACTTAAGATTTGCAATTGTGTTTGGGATAGGAATTTATTTGACAAAAAACTTCTGTTATCGTGTTTGGTGCGTGATGTTCATTTGAAATAGTTCATTTTAGAACGGATTATTTGGAAGAAGGAAGACAGACATGATTAATAGAGACATAAGTAGAGACAGACATATAGAAACAAATATTAAATATTGGAATTTGGTGGATAGTGGTAGGGAGAAATAAAGGGTTTGAGATAGGAATAGAGCGATAAAGAGGCAGGTAAAGAGAGAGAGTGAGAGAGAGAGAGATTACCAAAGAACTAATTACAATTTTTATTTGTATAGTTTCTGGTTATGAGTGGGGGAGAGGGACAGAAATAGAGAGGGGTGGCGGATAGAAAGTGCTCAAAAGACAGACAGCGTTAGGGAGAGAGACAGAGAGACGAGCCAAGAACTAACCTCATGACCTTACTTGTACAGCTTCTTTCTGCGAGTGTCTCCTGTCCCGTCACACATTCGTGTCCTGTGATGTACCAGATTGTGTTACTGCAGTCTTTGAATTCCCCAACATACTTGTCGCGAGGAACACGCTCATATTCGGCGATACACCAAATGATGTAAGTACGGTGTGTCATAATCATCTCATAGCTAACATTGTCAAAATATCTTCAATAGCTAGCAGATACACGTAGGGTTAATCGAATTTCTCCATTACTAGCCCAAGTAGCCCGGAAGCATTTTGAATCAAATCAAAAATTTAGTTAATTACATCAATTAAGTTTAATAAGACCTAGAAAAGAAAATTACCCTTTCGAACCTGACGGTCTATGAGGCTAGTGAAGTCTACCTGTTTCATCTTTCCCTAACGTAAGTCAGGTACACATTAGAGCTGAGTGGACTCAGCGACGTTTATTAACTTGAACCGGGATTCGAACTCGAGTCAAGGCAGTCGTGTAGATATCTAGTGATTTTTGTTTTTAAAAGTACAACTTTTAATAATAAAATTCTATACATATTTATTTAGCTATATAATATGATTTGCATAATTCATTAAAATAATTTCTATTCCTTCAAAAAGATAAAATGAATACGTAAAAGTTACGTCTTATGGCATCAGACCATCATACACAAAAACTAATTAGCATAAATTAATTATCCTTACATGCTATGTTTCCCACATAGGTGCTATCTAAGCAGTGTCCTCACTCCAAGACTAGAATCAGGTGCGTGGATTTCTTTCAAACTGCAATAGATGACTGTGTGTATTGTATACGAGGCTCACGGGAAGGGGGCGTGTTTGTGATGGAGGTCACGCGTCACTGGTCACGTCATGCAAGCGGTGACTTTACTGTCACGTGGTCACGACTGTTAGACGACCAACGTGATGAGAAAGTTAACCTTTTCCATGACGGTAAGTAGAAAACAATTACTTTGTTAAACTAAAGCTTATTTTTATGTGAAACAATAATCGTTTTTTAGCGCAATTTCCATACGGACAATTGCGATTATTAACTCGTCAAGGATGGATGTGTGTCCGATGAGTGTCCGCAGCTTTAAGTCGTATCTCCTCCTCAACGAAGCAATATCAAGGACTAGTTCCAAAGCAAATATGTTAAGCAAGTTCCAAGGATTATTGTGGGCCAAAACAATTCCCGGAATTCCTTCCTGGATTTCCCGGAAAAGCCAAAAAACCTCGAACAAATGCAGTTTTTGCTCCATATCTCGGCAACCAGACCGCTTAGCGACTTGAAACATTTACCAATCGATTCCTACTATAATTTAGAACAATATTGCCGAAGAAAGTTTTCAAAAATATCCTTTCGTTCGGTCACAAACAATTAATTAAGGAAATTGCGCTTAAATTGTCACTAGACTTTTTATTAAATTGTTTCCTATCATGCTCAAGACATAAATGGCCAATATAGAAAGTTCTTTCTACTTTGCCGGTCTCTGGAAATTTTCTTGACAACAGTCCCCCAAGACAGTCCTGTTCTTGTCATTTGTTTTTTCTGCTGTGTGCCTCCATGTCTCCCTTCACTTTCTTTGTTAGTTTTTTCTTGAGGCCTCCAGTAACGCGCCGTTCTTTTTATAACATCTAGATCCGTTCTTAAAAAGTGCCACATCCAGCGTCATCTTATTTATTTGAAACAATGCATATACACTATTTAGTAACGGCGTCTGTACTGTCTCCTAACGTGAATCAGGTACCCATCAGAGCTGAGTGGACTCACGGACCTTCTACGGTATACAAACTCGAGTATTTCGGGTAACCAGTTGTATACAGCCATGCCGTACCATAAGCAAAT